ATTTACTTGACCACTTTCATCGCACGTTTAAGGTTACGACTCTCTGTGGGGTTACAGTTAGGTCGCCATGACGTCATTAACTTATTTAACCCTATCTGTACGTGTGTTTTATTATCGTATCCATACGCTGAGGGGAACTCTGTTCCACCACTTTCAAAGAGGAAATTTACTCGTTCATCCGACCCGTACGTTTTGCATAGCAGTCAATCAAAAGGATTTTTTGAGAAATGCTTAAAGTTTCAAAGAGATCTTCGTGCTAGAAGTATTCTAAAATGTGAAGAATACAAAATGACCCCAGGGCGTACGAGTTGAAATGAAGACTGTATTATGCTATGGCAAAAGACATAAAAACCCCAGGCCATTCAACCATTTCCATATCGCTACCCCAGAATTACAAAGCTCTATTTGACAATTTGGCTGTTTTGAGTAACTAAGACCATGAGGTCAGAAACCAAAAACTGTTCTATCTGCTCTATCAAAATCGTTAGATTATTCGGAGTCGTTATCAATAATATATTCAAAGAATTACATGCGAAAAAACTTGACATGTTGTGAAGCTCGAAATGTTTGATAATGTCGCATTTAATTTCTCAACACTAGGTTCTGAGCAGATAGAACTTTGTAATTCTGAAGTAGCGATATACCCCCCTCTGGCGTTTAACAAAATACGACCATGGAATAAAAAGACACACCTTCCATCACCCCCCCCTAAAAAAAAAAAAAAAAAAACGAAACAAAACAAGAAACACGTAGTGCAGTCCTTTTCGTACCGTCTGCTCACACCGAGGTCAAAGGTTCACAAGATGGACAACTCTCGCCCAGCTGCTCAAGGTCATGTAGGCTACTGTATAAACTGCGTTAGGACCAGCTGTGAGGTGAAGGTTGTGTTTTTGACGCAAAGACAAGCTCAGAATAAGAAGAAAAGCTAAAGGCGCGGAGAGTACTTCTTGTGGTATCTTGATTTTGTTTGTAGCAGATTTAAACGTCCAAGTACATTCTTGATTATTTATTTCAATCAAATTATTTGGCTAAGAAACAGTTCAATCGATCTGGAGGTGTCATCTCTGACTCAGAGATTGACGTGTAATGACCCTCCATCCTTCACGGTCGCGAGCTACCGTTGTACATTCTGCCATATCCAGGCCTGCCCATGTTCTTCTGGCACATACATATATTATTCTTGTGTCTTCCCCTGGCTTTCCTGCCCCATGTCTTTCCTTCTAGCATCTCTTTCACAACGTTCTCGTGTCGTTTTAAGTGGCCAAAGTATTGTATTTTTTATATTTTATTTTATTCAGCAGGGTTTGTCTTGTGTGTAGAATCTGACACACATTGTTTGTGTTCTTTGTTTTCCAACTTATTCTGGCCATTCTTCGGTAGTACCACATCTCAAACGCATTTATTTTGATTTTTTCTTTCTTTGTCAAAGAAACAGTTAGTTTATTTCACGGTAGTCCTTGGCCTTGACACAGTGGTTTGATTTTTGTTCTTCTGATAGGCAGGAAAAAGGTAAGAAAAAGAGAGTGGAGGAGAGACTCAAGGGCACAATCTCCACCATATAAGCAGCGGGTCTAATGTAATGAGTGTATGAATGTGAGTTCAAGGAAATGGGGGGGGTATTTTTCTCATGTCTAGTATTCTTTTTTAAAGTTATCCCTTGCCCATTTATGTGACATTGACGCCATCTGATTAGTAGAAAAAAGGGCGCATGATAATGTCCAATGGTGGTGTATTACGTGCATACTTAGTATGACAGGTAACTGTTGCAGATAGAGATTCCAGGATTATAGATGTCTAGCATTCTTTATACACGTCTTTGCTGAGATAAAAATTGTGGGTCTCACTTCTTGAATTCCTTTTACTTTGAAACGGGTGTCCCCTGGTACAGCCTAGGGTGTGTGTGTGGAAGGGGGGGGGGGGATCTAGATTAAGCCCCAAACGAAGAAATAAACGAAAATCAAGATTAACTTGCACATTGTTGCCAACGATACAGGGTCACCATCGTTTCCGCCATCATCATCATCATCATCATCATCATCATCATCATCATCATCATCATCATCATCATCATCATCATCATCATCATCATCATCATCAGTCATCA